ATTATCTCATCTCATTATCTCATTATCTTATCATATCAGTTCAGCTTAGCACTGACATCGTTAAGTGATAAAATATTCTATTCATATTCGGTGAACAAGAATGATAATACTAACGTTGATTGTTGCTTATGTTTCAATTGCAAGGTGAGCTAAACCTTATAGAGTAATCTGTAACATCAGTGAGATCTGTAGCATGTCAGTGAAATAAGTTCAGATTTACTGGTATTGATCAAATAGATATGTCAAATCAAATATCAAATCAATAGATCAAATAATCTATCTAAATAATCTGATCAAGCTTTCTCAAATTTGCTATGAAACTTATGAATTTGTACAGATCTTAATGATACTCACGCTAGATACTTCAAATTTTTTCATGAGTTCGCTCGATACCTAAAATGAGATAATAACTTCCTTCTAGGTTTTGTAGCGCCCAACTTCTTGGAAGTAACTTCCTTAATGCACTCTCCGGTTATGGTTATGACATGTGCCGGTATATATCCTGTCCGTATGGTCAGCTGTGTATGAACGGAATGTGTATGGTCACCGGAACATCCGGCTCTTTGTCGGCACTTGGTGGGGGTTTGGGTACTTCAGCTAATAGTTATGGAGCTTATTCAAACTATAACTCGTATGGTAATTCTCAATACAGTACTGGATTGGCTGGATATGGTGCAATGCCCATGGGAAATAATCTACTTGGCGGAGGGATGGCACCGTCGAAGTGTAAGTGCTTTTTAACTTTCTTCGTTAGGTGATGAAATATTCTATTTGTATTCGGTAAACAAGGAAATTTGCAAATTCTTTGACGTTTTCACCCGCCTAATAAAACAACTCGCTATCAGTAGCCTGGATCAAAACCTCAAATTTTAGATTTATTCGTCTTAAATCGAGAAATTATATCATTTATGAATAGCTGAGTTGTTATCTGACAAACAAATCATGAAATGTTACAATGTTATTGCACGAATGACTTAAAGACGGTATATCGCAGAATATTAGTGTTCATCATGCAAAAGTGATGATACTCTACTCGAGATCAATTGGTCAAAAATTTCCATTTTGTAGAATCATGTTTACTGTTTCGAATTCAATTAGTTTCACTGTTTCACAACTTCAGACTTCAACAGTTGTCAGATTTCGTTTAAAAAAGTATCGAAAATTTTAATGCAAACTGGATTATTACATCAAATAAGTGATACAATAAAAACATAACTGTATAATAATGAAAAGATAATTGATTTCGTCAGTTTAATTGCTTTCCTGTCATAATTTCGAAACGATATCAGCTGGTTAAATCCAGTTTTTTTCTGTGACATTATATAATTCATACATAACAACTACGGCTACGTAACGGTTGTCATTAATCCAAAACCAAAACCTCTCACGAGGGCATTTAATGGATTAGCGATAGACTGATCTGGTGTTATAGCGGTGGCAGTGACAATGACACTGGCATTGACATTGAATTTGAATCTAACTGGTACTAATGTCTCTAAACATATATCCTTCATAAATCCATAGATATCGTATCAGATGTACCAGGTGTTCTACACTTATACTAGATCTCTTGCTGTGTAGTAACGGACGGCTCTATCCATATTTCATCCATTTTGTGTGGATATCTGAATGAGTCAGCACTCCCTCTCTCATCTTACCTAAATGTCGAATATCGACAATACACTGTCATATTCACATCCGATCTCTGCATATCCGTATTATCCCATGTTCTCAGCGCATTTGTGTGTGACATCTCAACATAGCACAATATCAAATCTGGCAATGCATACGACAGTTACATTAATAATACAAATGATGATGCTAATTATGTGGTAATTTCCGGTTTTTTAAAGATACAATCAATACTTTCATAATATAATAACTATGAGCTACTGTCCATGATCAAACGATAAAATAAATGATCAATTTGATACGTGGCTAATCATGCTGCACACCAATACCTACGTGTGTCCTTTTCTAATCGCTTATTCATCAATAAGGATTAGCTAATTCCAAAGTTTATTCCGAATGCATTTCACTTCGTTTCAAAGTTGATAAATGCATTTCTTGTTGTTTCCAACAAAAAATTCACAATACAAATTTTCAGTCTGTACGTTGAATACGGATTGCTATACAGGACAGAGTTGTGCTTACGGACGATGTGTTTATGATACAATTGTGAACAATGTTGGAGGTTAGTAGATTGTTTTAGTGATGTACATAAGAATGCCTAGTATCGCATTCGAACATGATATATTCATATCAGCTTTATTTGATCATATCCTTGAAGCTTACACAATGGATCAGCATTGACCACAAGATTTTAAAAGGAATCATCCCATCTGTCATTCCACAATCACAGTTACTTATGTTACATTCTCGAGATTAAATCCATGATCTTATGCTCGATCAAGTTTGAAGAGATCGTGAAAAATCTGAAAAGAGAACGACATTCGACGGACTATAGATGGGGTTACAGTCCAATGAGTAGCCAAATGATTTTATCGCTGTTATACCACTGTTATCACTGACTTTATCACTGCTATAATGCATATAAATCTGTTTAATACGGACTTAAAGGCGACGCAAATTCTACTGATAATTCAGCGAGTTTGAGCTCAAGATCATTATCAAACGCATTCCTAGCCTCGTACTCTAATGTCCCATATCTCGATTGCGCTGCCACACCCTCATGAGTTTCTTTAGGTCGATTGAAGTGCATTTTAGCCAATAATTCAGTCCAGAGTCCATCAAATTGACTTTTCTCTGCAAATTTATCCTGATCTTGTTGAGCTCTATGCAATGAAAGCGAATTTTATCAAAATTTCAAATTCTCAAATTCGTACTGATTAAATTGAGCTCTATCCAATGATACCAAAGTCAGCAAATGTTACAGAAATTTCAAATCTTCAAAATTTTCTCATCCCGTTGCCAAAACAGAAATCTCGATTCAAGCCTCCACTGTTGTTATCACTCTTTTATCATCGAACATTCATTCTGTAAGTTTAGTTTCTGAACGAATACACTTCAGGAACACAGCCGTGCAATCTGTTGCAACAGTGTTTGAACGGACAGATCTGTGTCAACGGATTTTGTTCACAAAGTAATGTGGTCTTCAGCGGCAGTCAAACTCGACCAGCTACCACCTGTTTGTTTATCGTTACTGTCTCAGTCTTATCAATAGCCATATCATACTATCATTCATCGTTAACTTGATCGTTACATTGTTATTAGTCACAGTATTTGGATGATATCATCGCATGTTTGTATCATTTATGACATCTATTGTTCAGTCTAATAATTCAGTCGAACCCTAATAAAATTCAGTGATAAATCATACTGTTCATTGTTAACATGTAACCTGAGTGAATCTCGTAATGAGTGTAATATTACTCTGAAAAGGTGAAAGTTTGTTAACTTGTAGCTTGTGCCAGTGGAGCGATATGCCCAATTGGACAGTACTGTCTTAATGGTGTTTGCATTCAGAATGCTTTTGCTTCAACTTTTGGTGAGTTTTCTATTGTTTTCACTTGAATATCATTGCTTTTGTGATTTTTCCTTTTCTTTAGGTTCAATGTGTTCGTTACTTGTGAGTAAGTAAGTTAATGGTGGCTATGCTTGTTTTATGGTGTGTGAATCGAGTGGCACCTCAAATCAACTTCTGATTTTGGATCAATCGTGAACATAGCAATGAAATTTCAGCTTGCTCAATGGGTGTTTGCCCTGCTGGTATGACCTGTCAACTGGGAAGATGCTTAGGCGCTGGTTTCCTCGGTAGGAGGAAATGAACAGAAACACCATATGCCATCAGTGTACTGAACGATTCGTGACCACAGCCGAGAGAATGAAGGCCACAAAATTTGCATCCAGAATATGGATGAATTGTGAAGTATGCATTAAAAGTAGAATTGTATGATCAAGTGATTGTTTATAAGAAGTTATTTATTAATCACTTATCGTTAGCAAAAATCTTTATTGCGATCACCAGTGCAGTTTGTTTCACTGTACGTAGTTGCTGTGATGAAAATGTATTTTCATTGTTAACATGTAAATATTACGTTGTATTAAAGCATTCCATATGATGGCTGTTGTCGTTGCTTTGGTTGATAACTGATAATTTTGCGATCAATGAACAAAAATGGCTGCAGATACGTACATTTTATTCTGAAATAAATGTTTCAATCAGTTTTGTCACATAAACGTATCAATACAAAAATATTTTTTACAAACGATCATCTCTTAGAATCCTATTAAATCCACAGGTAATCTCTATTAGCACGGAATGGCTGTTTCTCATCGTAAACACTGTCATCGAATTCGGGTGGTTGCTGGGAAGGTGAGACACGGCTATTACTTCTTGGACCTTGTCCGGTACGCTGGTTTAGAGGACGCTCTTGGATTGGGCCTCGTGGCGGCAAGTCCGGCTTATCAGTTGACGCTGATGGTGCGTATCCTTCAATTGGAAATTAGTTTGGTAAAGAATATTATCAGTGGCATCATTACCAGTATTTATTGATAGTATTGTCGTTAGTGATAAGCAGTCAAGCACGGATAAACAAATTGCTGGAATCAATGCCCGAATGATGCGAATCAAGCATAGGTGACCAAAAATGAATGATCAAATCAGTAACGAATGATCAGTTATGAATGATTAAATGAAGTATGACCAGTTACAAATAACATTTTTTATTGGTAACGAATTCATCAAAATTGTTATTTTACGCGTTATCTGCTCAAGAAACATGAAATTTTTTTAAAAATAAGATGAACAGATTATTACCTTGGCAGTGTGCACATGATCCTGGGTCTCCAGGGTCTCCAATTGGGCCTGGTGGACCTGGAAGGCCAGGATTTCCGGGTAATCCCCTGCAAACAAGGAATTCCTTAATACCGTTAAAGAAAGTGCTCGAATCAATACCCGAATAATGCGAACAAAAATATATTATCTCACTCGGTTTGTATAATTTTACTATAAATGATGCAAGAAAAATTGAATGAAAAAATATTAGAAAGCAAAAGAATATTTTTATCAGACCGTTCTCCAATCATTCCTCTCACACCTTGGTGACCTGGTAGCCCTGGTTTGCCATCATGACCTTAAACAATATCGATCAGTTTATACACTTGCTCAAGATAGCTTCAAATCAACTCAGATTATCTCTCATGAACGTCACAATTTAAAACATACCTGAATATTCAGTCTGAATGCCAACTCATGGCCAATTGCAAACGTGATTTATGAGGGTTATTTGAAGGTATCATATTACGTCGCTCATGTATTCTAGCTAAATCGAAACTCTTTCTGAACATTCCGAACATTCCTCACCTTTTCCTCCTGGAGGTCCTCGAGGTCCAATTCTACCAGGTGGTCCAGCTGGTCCTTGAGGTGCTCCGTTCAGTACTCGACCGCGATCACCGGGTGGTCCCTTTGGGCCAGGTGGTCCAGGTTCACCGCGTAATCCGGGTGGACCCGGTGGTCCTTGACGATTCGGCTCACCCTTACGACCGGCTTTTCCGGCTTTTCCCGGCTCACCACGACGTCCTTTTGGCCCTGGTAGTCCCGGTGGTCCTGGAGCTCCTGTGGGACACTGAAAATGTAATTTTGATACAGCGGTTCATCATTAATATCCATATGACCGACATCATTTTGAGACATATTCACAGGCTTCCAATATTGAGAATTTTCTAAGTTTCATCAGGAAAAATTTTCAAACAATCAGAAGGTGCTAAGCTTACTTTCTGACATAGATTCGCTTCGGGTGGTGGTGCTGGCAAGTAAACTCCGTCACGACCACGTTGACCTGGTTCACCTGGTTGCCCATCGATACCTAAAATCAATCAGTCGGATTGAAAGTATACGGAAGGCGAGATCATCGGCTCTAATTCAGACCGAATGGAGCTGATTTCAAACGCATTAATTTGAATGATAGTTCTGAATGTGAAGTGATTTTGATTCTGATTCGTCACTAAATAAACAGTCACTCATTTCAATGAAATGTAAAAGAATGAGTCAAAGCTATCGAATACGATGCATTTAAATCATCTACACTAACTAATCATCCGTATCGATGAGGTAATTATCACAAATCACTGAAATTATTCAAGCTGAAGTATCAATTCAAATCTCTTAACGTCAGCTCAGTGCGTAATTCATAACCAGGCAATTCCACAAAGCTATTACTACTGACGTAATTGTTCCGACGATTGATCTCCTTAATGTGATCATAATGGGGTCTGGTTATTTCGGTCATTATATTATTGTTACGATTGTTCATTTATGTACCATTCTACCTATTGTTGCTGTTGTTTTTTTAGTTTCATCACTCTAATTACTTCCATTATTATTACTATTGTTATTGCGATCAATATAGTCAATGCTACAAATATTTACAGCTATCAAAAATATTCTATTCATAACGATCAACTACGAACAATATCTTGTTATATAATCGTTTACATGGCGGCATGGAATAAACTAGTGAATGAATAAGGAACGAAACAAAACTATGAAAATGACACTTATTAACCGATGCGATTTCATTCCAATTCCAGATTTTTTCGCAATTCCCA